TATCAAATAAAAAATATTTAAAGACAAACGGATAAGTAGGTGAAGCACAAAAGCATTTTTAAAATTACATGAAGTACAAAAATTCAAACCTTCTTTTCTCGTGGACCAGGCACTTTTAGGGTAAAAAATTATTTTTCCCAAAAACTAAGTACCAATGTCTACAACATAAGCATATAAGCTTAATTTTTGGAAAACTTTTCACTTTTTCGATCAACGTGCGACCTCAGTGTGCTTTTCAGCGAATTCGAACGAAGTTGGTGCACTTTAAAAATATATACTCAAAACGAGGACCCCTGTACTTTTTTCTGTCCATAATACATTAATGTATCATCATTGATAATAATGAAACAGGAAGCGTCTTAACAATAGTAGCAATATGACAGACGAGGAAATGATAAACAAGTTTAAGCTGATGTTACACTTTCAGGGAAATGGTGTAGCTAGTGAAAAAGATTATCAGGAGCTGGAAGATGTAAATATTCAATTAGATATTAATTTACAATAGAAATGAATATGGCAATTTTACAGATACTCGAATTGAATAATCAAAATGTGAACTATTTATTAGAACGAGTTACTCCTAAATGCTCTGAGATTCTCGAACGTTGTAGTTGGAAAGGTTCTCTTTGGCGTTGCGACTCCCTTTTTCAACCAATCAATTCATCTGAAGGTGTATGCTGTTCTTTTAACAACTATGCATTCCCAACATCAAATTATGATCAAAAAATCATGTCGAGTATACCAAAAGAACCGAGGAGAGTCACTGCTTGTGGGTACCAAACTGGATTGTCTTTATTATTAAAGCCTAATCCTGATGATTATGTGGGTACAGAAATCGCTTCTAGTGGATTTCGAGTAGGTCATACAGTGTATCTCGTATGAATAACCTTTTAATCTCAACATGTTCAATAAACTTTTAATTACAGCTAATGGTACACAATTCATATGATAATGCAGATCCAAATGCCGTAACTAAATTGCTACCATCGAAATCAGAAGCATACTTGAGTATTGCACCGGAATCGACTTATAGTACCGATGACGTATTTGAATTAGCCCCAGACCTAAGAAATTGCTTAAAATCAGACGAAAGGAATATGGATACATTTTCGAAATATTCTTATGTAAATTGCGTCGCAGAATGTAGAAGTGCAATAGTCAATTTCTATTGTGGTTGTGTACCCTACAATTTACCGAACAATGGAACAAGTAAAATACAATTCAATATCTATACAAACAGCATGTAGAAAGAGATACGATGAAGATTTTTTTTTTCATGTTTACTTTTAGTGAAGAAGTGCAAAATCGTCCCTGACTTGAGATGTGTGCGAGCTAATTTTTTTCGCTTTGCAGGTTCCACATTCAACATATTCAATGATTCGTCGGAGGCAGCGATAAAATTGCAGAAAAAATGCAAATGTCTGCCAGATTGCTTATTAAATGCATATCCATCAGAAGTCAGCACTGGATCCCTATTTCGGGAATATTCATTTAATTCTTTAAGTTTTTTCAAGGACATCAATTTGACAGATCAAACTTTAATTCACATCTTCTTCAATGATCTCATTTCTACGCATTATCGAAAAGATATGTACCAAAATTGGCTGGGGGTTCTGGCTGCATTTGGGGGTAAGTCTTATCTTTTTTTCATTGATTTTTTTCTTCTCAAAATTTCTTACATCATTTCGGAAAGGCTTACTCGGGCTATTTCTCGGGTTTTCCCTGGTTACTGGTTTTGAGCTGGTCTATTTTTTTAGCTTAAGGACTATTTTCGATAAACTAGCTGAGAGAACAGCACAGAAAAATGAGCAACATTGAGACACTGTAAAGATTGATAGACTTATTTTATGGATTTATGGGTGTCAATTTATTAGTTTAATAAAAATCTATTATTATGGTGATTTGACATGTATAGCTAGTCACGGATAATTTAGACAAATAAAATCATAACTTTTAATCGAACTTTAACCTTGTGACTATCAGTGTTTATATTAAACTACGCATTTCCATTAAATTCATTGTTGAAAATCAAATTTTTTATACACTTGTGCAAGAATTATCTACACCCTTTGTGTGTCTATTAAATGGATATCCATTATTTTATTAATTTAATTATTTCTCTCAGCTTTTGCTTCATTAACTTGGCCCTTATTTTTGAATGATTATTTTTACAATCCTTATTTTTCTTAATTTAATTATATTTAATACTTCCACATGTTTTTTTACTCACCTAATTTTTTCTTATAAGAAATAGATTCACTGTGTAAGACATTAGCCACAAGAGCTTTCGGAAAAGCTTGATTTGTTTTGTTTGTATCATTCAGTGGTATCGAATATGACCCAATTCATCCATCTACGCTACTGCTTTAACAGATATTTTGAATATTAAGCAAATTACTTGAAAAGTGAGCAAATCACCCAAAAATTTCATCGATTTCTTCAGGAAGTTTCTGTTTGTGGCTTCTTTAAAAATAAAAAAAAATTGAGCATTATTCATCGTCAATATGCATCGGTGAGTAATCATATCGCTAGTTAATTAATAGATAATAATGTGAATTACTTTAATTAGCCAGCACTATAGAAACAACTTCATCCAAGGAGAAACTACTTTCAACAATCAACAAAGGAATACAAGATCCAATAATGCTCAAGTGCAGCAAGCAGCAACTCCGTCCTCAGCTGTTATTCCGATTAAAGTAAGTGATAAATTAATGTCAATTGAAATGAATTAAAGAATGTGATATTAGTTATGTAATGCATAGGGATATACAATTTATTTTTAAAATTTTTTTTTCACAAAAAAAAATCAAGATGAAGATTTATTGATTTTTTAACTTTAAACCTTTTTTTCCCTTTTTTAGATGTGAGTGATTTATTTGTTCTAAAGTTTTTAAATATAATAACTTTTATTGGTTACAGAGAAGATAAATTATAAACATTACAAGTTAATTTAATGCATTTTATTGAAAATATCATTTCCTCTCATAATACAATTTACTGGATCTTAGTGCTACTTGGTGGAAAATTGTTTTCGATAAAATGTAATGAATTTATGTAAAGTTAAGCTCACATGAACTACTCTGTAATATTTAATAGAATTTATTAATTTAAAAACCTAAACATTAAAGATATCTAAGTAATTATGGGCACATCCAGTAGTCAAAAAATGTCTATGTAACTATACTGATTGATAGTGAAACATTTCGATGAGCTTTGTGAGGGAATTACGGCTACATTAAACTTCTTTCAAAACTCATTAAAATTTTTCAAATTTTGACTCATGGATGCTCCTACTTAGTTTGATATTGAAAAAAATCCCAATAACCGATCCAATAATGGATTAAGTTGGTAAATGGATTTTTCCTACAAATCGGCAAAATCGTTCATCTCCATTATAAAATCTTTAATTATACTTTTCCGAAAAGACTGAGTCAGCTCCTATACAACAACAACAACTCCCAGCGCCTCAAGTTGTTCAACAGCCTGCTGCTGTTGTCCAACAACCAGCTCCTACTCCCATGAAAGTTGATCCACCAATAAAGACTGCTGATATAAGCCTTTCTGAAGATGATTTAATGAAATTGAAGAAAATCAATTTCAAGAAGAAGGTTTCCGGTATGTCGTATCATCACACATATATACAATTACCTTAACAAACGATGCAATTTTTTAATTTGCAGGAAAGGAGAAAAGATTGAAGCAAAACAAGAAATTGTTCCGCATGCTTACTCCTAGAAACGCAATTGCAGCTTTAAATGAATTGCACGGCCAGTCAATTAACGAAACTACTGTAGTTCCAGTTCCAGGCAATAAATTTGAGGCTGAAATTGTCATTAATAATGTCAAATTTCAGGGAACTGGGAATAGTAAAATGGCAGCTAAAAATTCTGCATGCGAAAAAGCTTTAAGAGATTTGGTCATTAACAAGTTCAAGCAAATTAAGCATACAGATATTCAATTGCCAATTACCGAAGATATTAATATGGAAGAAGGATCTGATTCATCTGGCGATGTTCCAATGCTTCAATTGGCCAGTTTTGCTCTTCACAAACTCTTCTCTGAATGGGAATCCGAAGGTTTCGAAATTCCATTCCCAAAAGTTAATGTAAGGATTAATGATTAATTTTATTAATTCTTTGAATAACGTTTTAACTCCTTGCAGCCTGAAGTTGCTCCAGTCACAGCAACTCCTCCAAATGGAGTTGAAACTAAAGTATCTCCTAAGGCACCAAAAGTTCGCAATGAATTGCCACCAAACAACTTGCAAATGCATCCAGTAATGCTTTTGAGTGTTATGCGTCCATGCACACAATATTCTGATTTAGGCTCACAGGGAGTCACACCAAATATCCTTCATACAGTTGGATGTACAGTTGACAATCAGAGTTTCATTGGACAGGGACGTAGCAAAAAAGAAGCTCGCAAGAGAGTCGCGACTGAAATTTTGATGAAACTGTTTGAATGGAAAGGATCTTGCTGTTAAGCGTATTCATTTTAAAAATTTTAATTCACTCTCTTGATAAAAACTAGATTCATTTTCGCATTAGGTTTAAAAATTATGTATTCTCGATTTATTAAGTATGAATAAACCTATTAACCCTCTTTTATTTGATCTACTGAATAGTTTTTAACGAATTTTTGAAAGCTTATTTTCTCAAAGGAAGGTTAATAATTCACGCAGTCTCCTCAGCTGTTCTGATGAGATCAAAAACTTTTTAACTAGACATCGTATCGGATTTGTTGTTAATAATTTTAACGTACGTATGATTTTGAACGTAAGGTGTAAACTCATAAATTAAGGCGTATAGTAAGTTTAAATGCTTCTAAGGCCTTATAAGGGTAAATTAATGTCATATTCGCATTACTTGCTAATCAAATACTAGTTCGTTGCAACAAAAAAGCGCTGAAGTCCCTGAATTAATAACACGAAGACTTTTTAAGTTATGCTGTATCTGTAAAAAAAACTGTCACAAAAATTTCAAAAAAATCGCCCAGTTTTCGCCACATTTTGGTTGTTTACAAAACTGAATTTTCATTTCGAATTCACAATTTTGCTAGTTATAGTTATTTGCTTGTTTATTGAAGTTTAATTCAGTTTTAAAGTATTGTGCTAATTGATTAAGAGACTAATCTATAAAATGGAAGTCGATAAACCTATTGAAAAGATGGATATTGACGAGATCGGCGAAAGTTCATCAAAAAAGCAAATTGTTGCAAAATCAATGCAGCCTTCTGTAGTTATATCACTACATCCACTAGTTTTAATGAATATCTCAGAACATTGGACACGTATTAGAGCTCAGGAAGGAAGTTCCCTTGCTGTTTATGGTGCTTTAATTGGAAAACAGGAAGGACGAAAGATTGAAATTTTCAATTCCTTTGAACTGAAGTATGAGACAATTGATGGCGATATTGTGATTAATCGAGATTATTACAATACTAAGGAAGAGCAATGTAAGCAATGATATTTATTTCTTAATCAACAGTCTAATATTTGCGAGTAAATTTAATTCGATTTCAGATAAGCAAGTATTTAGTGATTTAGATTTTTTGGGATGGTACACGACTAGTCCAGCACCGACTGACAAACATATTAAAATTCATCGTCAGATTTGTCAAATCAATGAAAGTCCAATATTGCTTCTCATGGATACTAGCAATAAACACGTTGAACAACTTCCTATACAACTTTTTGAGTCTGTAATTGATATTGTTGCTGGAGAAGCAACGATGTTATTTGTTCCACTTACTTATACATTAGCAACAGAGGAAGCAGAGCGTATAGGTGTTGATCATGTTGCTCGAGTGGCTCAATCCAATGACACTAATTCAAACTCTTTCGGTAATAATTTTACATTATTGCAATTTAATTTCGTATGTTCAATATTATGCCAATTTTTAGTTGCTGATCATCTCATTGCACAACATGTCGCTATAAAAATGCTTCATTCGCGTGTCAAGTTAGTTTTGGAATATGTTGAGGCAGTTTGTGAAGGTAAACTTAAGGCAAATCATGAAATTTTGAGAGAAGCATTTACTTTAAGTCATCGTTTACCAGTCGTTCAAAATCCAATGTTTAAGGAAGAATTTCACACACAGTCAAATGATGTCGGATTAATCATGTATTTGGGTACTTTAACAAAAGCCGCAAATGACATTAATCAGCTAGTAAACAAATTCAATTTACTACATGATCGTCAAAGCCGTCGAATGCGTTTCTTCTTCTAAAATCCTTATCGCAATTTTATAATTACCATAAACAATACTAAAAGAATGATACAAAGAATAAAGGATACTAACAAGAAATTACATACTTAAATTGCTCAAAAATCAAATTTTTATTAAGGTAACAGTAACAATAGTTAAAAATTAACTCTAATTTTGGATTAGAGGCTGAATAGCAGAGTTATTAGCTATAGTTTCACAAGGATCAAACATAATGGAAACAATTTTCTCACCATCAAATTGAAGCAACACCAATTCATAAGTTCTGAAAAGAATTTAACTTGTAGTTCCAATAAAAATGAAATTTCAGACTTACAGAATAGTTCCAGCTATGGAAATAACTATGCTTCTTGTAAGAAAGAAGAAATTCTTTCCACTAAGTGCAACTCCGTTGTTTTGAATTTGATTACAAAATCTTTGAACTTCCTGAGTCCATCCATTACTTGGAATCGTACGAAATACAGAGAGTGGCTTAATAGATTCTTCATTAATAGATGCAGAAATCAAAAACATCGCAGATGTACGGCATATCAAAAATACAGTAGAGTACCAGAAATAGATTTTATTAACGAGGAATGGAAGTGGCCTAAAATGAGGTGATAATAGAAAAAAATAGTCAACCATAAAACTTTACATTACGTTGCCACATTCAGAAGCTGCAAGCAAACATAGTATAAGTCACTTAAGCATGCAATACAAATCAAGCTTCCAAGTATGTTATCAACACGTTCATTTAGTTCGCATATTTTATTATAATGATATCGAACTTCGTCCCAGAACTCATCTAAAACTACCTAAAATGTGAGATAAATTGAACAAATAACTGCCAAAATTAAAGGCGCAACCTACTTTTCCTTTAAAATGTTCTAATCGTTCATTAATCATCTTAAACTTTGAAGCTATCGAGAAGCTCATAATCATGATAAATAGGTCGATAAAGTTCCATGTGAATGTAAAAGAAATGTTCATGTACTCAGCCCAAATCACCGTAAAAACGTTAACTGGGAGAAACTTGTAAATTTGGACCAAATGAAGTGTGGCTAAATAGAAGAACCAAGATCCAATTTCCCATTTGCAAATCTCTGCCTGTATAATTCGATCGTAAACGAATGAAAACCAAGAGAGAGAATGCTCGATAGCCCCAAATGTCATCATTAAGCACGTTGCACAGTTTATTTGCTTTCTAAGACTCCATCCTGATAAAGTATAACAACTTTTGCTAAAAATAGCCTCAATATGTTCAAATGAATAAAGCAATTCATTCCACTTGGCTGCAACACGAAAGAAAGTAACACACGAAGCTATTGCAACGCAGTAGAATGCGATCCCACCTAGAAAAATATAACATGCAATGCTTTAGATTATATCATGTGCAAAAAAGCTATTTACCAATGGATTTTGCGTTTATTTTTTCTTCATATGCCAATCGGTGGACTTCAAGAATTTGAAAAATGAACGCACCAACCAGCCACAAGCTAGTATGAAATGTACGAAATGACAGAAATTTAAACTTTATATTTTTTATGTTTCTCGAAAAAATTCCTGTGATCGGAAGAACACCAAAAACTTGTGCGAGTGCCAACACTAAAAGATTCAAACTGTTACAATATTTAGTCATCAAAAGTCAACTTCTATACACCTGGTGCAAAAATAATGTGGAAAGTGTTGTCATCCTTCGATTTCTTGTTTTGTACTTTGTTGAAAAGTTTTGCCATCTTTAATCACATCCACTCCTTTAAAACTAAATATTAAAAATGAAATTCTTTAGCAGATTTTAATACTTAAAAGAAAGATAAGCTTTACAAACCTAGATGCTTGTTAATTAAACCTAGAACTAATTATCATTAACTCATAAAATATGCAAATATGAGTGACAATTATAACTGATAATCAAAATCCGTGAATAATAATGAACTGAAAACTTTGAAAAGGTAACAGAGAAAAATGGAGATACTTCAATCAGGAACTGTGCAGCAAGCAATTTATCTTTTTAAATTATACATAGAACGTCAACCGCAAGAAATAAGGTGGTATCTATATAGCCGAGTGATTACGAATGCCACTGCATGGATCAAACTCTTCTGGTTGAATGTTTGAATCATATAACTGACGTAAAACCAATTCATAGGTTCTAAAAAAAATATTGAGGATGGACGATGTTAAATTTCATTGGAACCAACAAAATGCATAGCTTACACAACAGTCCCAGCAATCGAGATAATCAAGCCTCGAGTCAAAAAGAAAAAGTTTCTTCCACTTAATGCTGTGCCATCCTGCTGAATTTGACTGCATAATCTTTGAACTTGTGGAAGCCATCCATATTTGGGTATTGTTCGAAAAACATCAAGTGGCTTAATAGATTCATCATTGACTGAAGCAGTGATTAAAAACATTGCGAATGTTCTGTATATTAAAAATATTGTTGAATACCAGACGTAGATTTTGCTCACTCGATATGGAAGTGGCCTAGAAAAAAATAATTGATTAAAATCTACTCTTTACAAACTAGTGTATCGGGTAGAAACTAGGGTCGCCCCTAGTCCAAAATTGAAAATGTATTTCCTCCTTGGTTCTTTGCTCAAAAAACGTTTAAAATGTTTTATTTGTATTTGTTTTAAGCATTAGAATATTTATGCAAAGTTTCAATCCATTTGGATAAACCCTCGAAGAAAAAAGTGAGAAAATTGATTTTGACTAGGGTCGCCCCTAGTCCAAAATTGAAAATGAATTTCCTACTTGGTTCTTTGCTCAAAAAAATTTTAAAATGTTTTATTTGTATTTTTTTTAAGCACTAAAATATTTATGCAAAGTTTCAATCCATTTGGATAAACCCTCGAAGAATAAAGTGAGAAAATTGATTTTGACTAGGGTCGCCCCTAGTCCAAAATTGAAAATGTATTTCCTCCTTGGTTCTTTGCTCAAAAAACGTTTAAAATGTTTTATTTGTATTTGTTTTAAGCATTAGAATATTTATGCAAAGTTTCAATCCATTTGGATAAACCCTCGAAGAAAAAAGTGAGAAAATTGATTTTGACTAGGGTCGCCCCTAGTCCAAAATTGAAAATGTATTTCCTCCTTGGTTCTTTGCTCAAAAAACGTTTAAAATGTTTAAATTGTATTTGTTTTAAGCATTAGAATATTTATGCAAAGTTTCAATCCATTTGGATAAACCCTCGAAGAAAAAAGTGAGAAAATTGATTTTGACTAGGGTCGCCCCTAGTCCAAAATTGAAAATGAATTTCCTACTTGGTTCTTTGCTCAAAAAAATTTTAAAATGTTTTATTTGTATTTTTTTTAAGCACTAAAATATTTATGCAAAGTTTCAATCCATTTGGATAAACCCTCGAAGAATAAAGTGAGAAAATTGATTTTGACTAGGGTCGCCCCTAGTCCAAAATTGAAAATGTATTTCCTACTTGGTTCTTTGCTCAAAAAAATTTTAAAATGTTTTATTTGCATTTTTTTTAAGCACTAGAATATTTATGCAAAGTTTCAATCCATTTGGATAAACCCTCGAAGAAAAAAGTGAGAAAATTGATTTTGACTAGGGTCGCCCCTAGTCCAAAATTGAAAATGTATTTCCTACTTGGTTCTTTGCTCAAAAAACTTTTAGAATTTTTTATTTGTATTTGTTTTAAGCACAAGAATATTTATGCAAAGTTTCAATCCATTTGGATAAACCCTCGAAGAAAAAAGTGACAAAATTGATTTTGACTAGGGTCGCCCCTAGTCCAAAATTGAAAATGTATTTCCTCCTTGGTTCTTTGCTCAAAAAAATTTTAAAATGTTTTATTTGCATTTTTTTTAAGCACTAGAATATTTATGCAAAGTTTCAATCCATTTGGATAAACCCTCGAAGAAAAAAGTGACAAAATTGATTTTGACTAGGGTCGCCCCTAGTCCAAAATTGAAAATGTATTTCCTCCTTGGTTCTTTGCTCAAAAAAATTTTAGAATGTTTTATTTGTATTTTTTTTAAGCACAAGAATATTTATGCAAAGTTTCAATCCATTTGGAAAAACCCTCGAAGAAAAAAGTGACAAAATTGATTTTGACTAGGGTCGCCCCTAGTTCAAAATTGAAAATGTATTTCCTACTTGGTTCTTTGCTCAAAAAAATTATAGGATGTTTTATTTGTATTTTTTTTAAGCACTAGAATATTCATGCAAAGTTTCAATCCATTTGTATAAACCCTCGAAGAAAAAAGTGACAAAATTGATTTTGACTAGGGTCGCCCCTAGTCCAAAATTGAAAATGTATTTCCTACTTGGTTCTTTGCTCAAAAAAATTTTAGGATGTTTTATTTGTATTTGTTTTAAGCACTAGAATATTTATGCAAAGTTTCAATTCATTTGGATAAACCCTCGAAGAAAAAAGTGAGAAAATTGATTTTGACTAGGGTTGCCCCTAGTCCAAAATTGAAAATGTATTTCCTACTTGGTTCTTTGCTCAAAAAAATTTTAGGATGTTTTATTTGTATTTGTTTTAAGCACTAGAATATTCATGCAAAGTTTCAATCCATTTGTATAAACCCTCGAAGAAAAAAGTGACAAAATTGATTTTGACTAGGGTCGCCCCTAGTCCAAAATTGAAAATGTATTTCCTACTTGGTTCTTTGCTCAAAAAAATTTTAGGATGTTTTATTTGTATTTGTTTTAAGCACTAGAATATTTATGCAAAGTTTCAATTCATTTGGATAAACCCTCGAAGAAAAAAGTGAGAAAATTGATTTTGACTAGGGTTGCCCCTAGTCCAAAATTGAAAATGTATTTCCTACTTGGTTCTTTGCTCAAAAAAATTTTAGGATGTTTTATTTGTATTTGTTTTAAGCACTAGAATATTTATGCAAAGTTTCAGTTCATTTGGATAAACCCTCGAAGAAAAAAGTGACAAAATTGATTTTGACTAGGGTCGCCCCTAGTCCAAAATTGAAAATGTATTTCCTACTTGGTTCTTTGCTCAAAAAAATTTTAGGATGTTTTATTTGTATTTTTTTTAAGCACTAGAATATTTATGCAAAGTTTCAATTCATTTGGATAAACCCTCGAAGAAAAAAGTGACAAAATTGATTTTGACTAGGGTCGCCCCTAGTCCAAAATTGAAAATGTATTTCCTACTTGGTTCTTTGCTCAAAAAAATTATAGGATGCTTTATTTTTATTTGTTTTAAGCACTAGAATATTTATGCAAAGTTTCAATCCATTTGGATAAACCCTCGAAGAAAAAAGTGACAAAATTGATTTTGACTAGGGTCGCCCCTAGTCCAAAATTGAAAATGTATTTCCTACTTGGTTCTTTGCTCAAAAAAATTTTAGGATGTTTTATTTGTATTTTTTTTAAGCACTAGAATATTTATGCAAAGTTTCAGTTCATTTGGATAAACCCTCGAAGAAAAAAGTGAGAAAATTGATTTTGACTAGGGTCGCCCCTAGTCCAAAATTGAAAATGTATTTCCTACTTGGTTCTTTGCTCAAAAAAATTTTAGTATGTTATATTTGTATTTGTTTTAAGCTTTAAAATATTTATGCAAAGTTTCAATCCATTTGGATAAACCCTCGAAGAAAAAAGTGAGAAAATTGATTTTGACTAGGGTCGCCCCTAGTCCAAAATTGAAAATGTATTTCCTACTTGGTTCTTTGCTCAAAAAAATTTTAGTATGTTATATTTGTATTTGTTTTAAGCTTTAAAATATTTATGCAAAGTTTCAATCCATTTGGATAAACCCTCAAAGAAAAAAGTGACAAAATTGATTATGACTAGGGTCGCCCCTAGTCCAAAATTGAAAATGTATTTCCTCCTTGGTTCTTTGCTCAAAAAAATTTTTTTCATCCAAAGTTTAATTTAAAAAAAATCACAGTGAACTTTTAATTTGAAAAATTCGTAAGAAAGGAAAGTATTTTGCTTTTTCTGAAGCAACTGCTGTTCCTACCTTGCCCAAAAACAATGCTGCTCTTCTATAGAGTAGCACGGATCAAATGTAAAAAACTAGAAGTCTCTACGATGTCTCTTTATTGAGATTTTCTGCTGATTAACTTGCTTGCTTGCTTGCTTTCAGAAAGCGTATTTTTCGCACAAACTTTTCTTCTTTATACATTTATAGCTAAAATGCTTCGTTAACTCACAAAATCCAAAAAACTGATTTTTCGATCTGAACAAAAACAAAACATTCAAAGCATGCAAATAGAATACAAATCGCTTAAACATGCAACGCAAATTAAGGTTCCAATCAGTTTGCTTATAAATTTATTGAGCTCGCAAACTTTGTTATAATGACGTCTGATCTCATCCCAGAAAGCATCTGAAAGGATCTTAAAATTTGAAGTAGAGGAATTACGTTTAGTAATTAGGACATAATCACAAACTTGCTCACCCTTCCTTTGAAAAACTTCAACCGTTCATTAATCATCCTAAATTTTGAAGCTATAGATAAGCTCATTAGCATAATAAACAGATCAATAAAGCTCCATGCAAACGTAAGCAAAATATTCATGTATTCAGCCCAAAATATTGAAAGTGGATTCATGTCAAAAAGTTTGAAGATATAAAAAAATTGAATATTAACTATGAAGTAAAGCCAAGATCCGATTTCTAAATTGCAAATTTCTACTTCAACAAAACGATCATGTATGAATGAATACCAGAATAGTAAATGCTCGATTGTTGCAAAAGTCAACACAGTGAAAGTTGAAAACCAGACCTGTTTCCTAAGGCTCCATCCGGACACAGTATAAATTTCGTTACAAAAAATGCCATCTACTTCTTGAAATAGTCGCAATAATTCATTCCATTTGTATGCAATACGTAAATATAAGAAGGACGAAAATAATCCAACTGAATAAAATGCAGAACTTCCTGGAAATAATCATGAAAATTTCAGTATAAACCTAGGATATGTATCAATAAATTAGTACCGATAGTTTTTGCATTTAAGCCCTTTTCACTGGTCATTCGATTTAAATCAATATATAAAAATACAAAGACACTGATGAACCACAAACTTGTATGTAATGTTCGTTTGGACATAAGCTTAAACTTTATATCTTTGACGTTGAATGAAAAAATTCCAGTTATAGGAAGAAGACCAAAAACTTGAGCGAGAGCTAATACTGAAAAAGATGTGGTAGAGATAAAGTTTCAAAGGAAAAGTTTGGATACAAACCTGGAGCTACAACAATGTGGAATCTGCTGTCATCGTTTGCACGTCTGTTAACATTAATATTCATTGAAATTGTAAACATTGATATCAAATAATTCTTTACAAAATTAAATGTCAAATTGAAGAGCTTTCTTGCTTGATTGTGGAGCTTCTTGCTTCTTTTATAAACACTATAGTTTTTAATACGTTATGCAAGGATTAAAAGCAATTGATAATAAAAATTGCATAATTATATCAAATTAAAATAGACATTTTAAAATACAGAAAAGCTTTACTAAGTTAAGTGCTGAACCTTCACGTGTAATGTTTAGGGATTTAAACAAAATCAGTATATGGTATGATTAATAGCCGCAGAATTATTGCCTCTTTCACCACAAGGATTGAACATTCCGGGTAAAATTTTATCTCCATCAAATTGAATGAGCACCAACTCATAAGTTCTGAAAAAAGTTAAAACGTCATTAGATCTACCTGATATTTAAAAAAATCTATTTACATAATAGTTCCAGTAATCGAGATAATGATTTGTCGAGTCAAAGTGAAGAAATGTCTTCCACTTAGTGCAACACTCTTACGTTGAATTTGTTTAGATAATCTTTGAAGTTGTTGAGTCCATCCATTACTAGGTATTGTTCGAAAAATAACAAGAGGCTTAACAGATTCATCGCTGATCGATGCTGCTATTATACACATCATAAAGGTTCGATTAATTAAAAACATTGCTGACAAACCATAGTAGATTTTGTTTATTAAGTAAGGATGTGGACTGTGAGGAAATAATTTTGTTTCATATAAAGAAAACATAGGAAATGTATATGCTTACGTTGCAAAATTCAAAACTTGCAAGCAAATGTAGTAGAAGTCACTCACACATGCAATGCAAATCAAGCTTCCAATCAACTCATCAACAAAATCATTGAGCTCACAGATTTTGTTGTAATGCTGTCTTATTTCATCCCAGAAAGCATCCGCAATAATCTATCGAAGAAAATGAGTAAACTAAGCTAAAAAACAGCCATTGTACTCACTCTTCCTTTGTAGAGTTCCAATCGTTCATTGATCATCTTAAATTTTGAAACTATGGATATACTCATTACCATAATAAACAGATCAATATAGTTCCATACAAAAGTGAAAGATAAATCCGTAAATTCAGCCCATAAGACTGAATATATCCTAACTGGAAAGAGATTGTAAATGTGAGACAAATGAAGACTAGTGATGTAATAGAACCAAGATTCGATTTCCCAGTTGCAAATTTCTGCTTGAGCAATGCGATCATGTACAAAGGAGTACAATGCTAATAAATGCTCACAAAAAGCAAGAATGGTCACTGTGAATGTTAAAACTCTAATTCGAGTTTTTAGGCTCCATCCACTTAAATTATAAGGAATTCTGCAAAATATGTTATCTATTTCCTCAAATAACTGCAATAATTTATTCCATTTGTATGCAACACTTAAGAATATGAAGGATGTCGAAATTCCGATCGAATAAAATACAACTCCACCTAAAATGTTAATTTTTAGATAAAGACATAAACTATCGTAAAAATACTGTGTTACTGAATGTTTTGAAATTGATATTTTGTTCACTCGTCAATCGGAAAAGTTCAAGAGAAAAGAATGTCAAAGCACTAATGAACCATAAACTTGTATGCAAATTTCTGATTGACAGAAGCTTGAACTTGATGTCATTAATATTCTTTGAAAAAATTCCTGTAATAGGGAGCAGACCGAAAAATTGTGCGAGCGCTAGTGCTGAAACAAATAGTTTTAAACGAATGCTTAGTAAATTAATCTTTCTATAGACCTGGAACTATAGCTATATGGAATCTGTTGTCATCTTTTAAAGTTTTATTTACTTTAGATTTAACGATTATACTCTTCATTGTTGCCTCCTTTTTGAAATAAAAAAGCTCGACTGAAATTTTTTCTGGATCAATCCAGGATTTTATTTATTTCTATATCAACATTGATTTTTAAAGTATTCATAAATTATGCAGGAACTCCATAAAATAAACTGACAATCTACAAATTGCTAAGTTATGTAAAACAGTTTTTATAATGAACATCTCTAAGGATTAATCATTTCTAATAAAGGGGTTGTTCATGTCAATTCGATAAATCGTGAATAAGGGACTTTAAATAGCTATAGTTTGATTGTATATGCCACGACATGGATCAAATATTTCTTCTTGTGTATTTCCATCTCCATTAAATTGCAGCAACACTAGTTCATAGGTTCTAGAAAAAAAGTTCTAAGTTTCACAAATTTTTTAACAAAAAAACTTTGACAAATTTACATGACAGTTCCAGCAATAGAAATAATAATGCCTCGATTTAGAAAGAAAAAATTCCTCCCCCTTAACGCTGCACTATTATGCTGAATTTGATTACAAAATCATCGAATTTGACGAAACCATCCATCACCAGGAATTGTCCGGAATACAGCAAGTGGCTTAACAGACTCTTTATTGACTGAAGCGGTGATAAGAAACAAAGAGAATGTCCGACATATTAGAATTCATTCGTTCGTTAATCATCTTAAATTTGGTGGCTATAGACAAGCTCATTACAATAATAAACAGATCAACATAATTCCAAGCAAACGTGAAGGATACATTCATATATTCAGTCCAAATAATTAAAAATATATTTAAGGGAAATACTTTGAAGACTAAATATATAAGACTAGGCTATCCGAAGGCGCCCGTGGCGCCTCTTATCAGGGTTAAAATTTGATTACTATTATGAAAATAACTGTAAGACGTAAATAACCATAATGTTTTTAAGGTCAATCCTACCACAAAACTTCACATTCCTTAATCCCACAAAAACTATATAAATGGCTTCACAAAACTTCACATGGCTTCACAAACCTCCCCAAACTCAGACTTAATCCCACAAAAATTGTATAAATGTCTTCACAAACCCCCTCGAACTCGGACCCCCTTAATCCCACTAAAACTTTAATTCCCCCGGAACTCACCATGTCTTTTCACAAAGCTTCGCATGGCTTCACAAAACTTCATATGGCTTCACAAAATTTTATATGGCTTCACAAAATATTCCTGACACCAAACTTTTCCCAAAAACCCCCTCAAATTCGGACCCCCCACCCCAACTGACACCCACCTTGTCAGCAATCCTCAAATCATTGGCTTCACAAAATATACCTGACACCCCCCTTGCCCCCCACCCCCCTTGCCCCCCCCCCCCCCACAACTGACACCAACTTTGTCAGCACCCCTCAAATCATTGGCTTCATACGGCTTCACAAAATATACCTGACACTCCCCTTGCCCCCCCCCCCCCCAACTGACACCAACCTTGTCAGCACCCCTCAAATCATTGGCTTCACAAAATATATCGACACCCACCTTGTCACCATCCCCCACCTGACTTCCACTTGCATGTGTATTTCATTCAAAAAAGAATACCAGACCAGAAAAATGAATGCTCAATGGTAGCAAATAGTATCATTGTAAACCAAGTAAACTGAATTTGTTTCTTGAGGCTCCATCCTGACAATTTGTAAAGACCGCTGCAAAAAATTTCATCTACTTCTTTAAACCAGTTAACACCTCCTGAAAAAGACTATAAACCATTGATCTGGACATTAAGACTGTCATCCATTTTGGTACCGAAACTTTTTGGAAACAAGCTTCAATTTGATGTCATCAATATTTTGAGAGAATATTCCTGTGATCGGAAAAAGACCAAAAAATTGTGCGAATGCTAGAACTGACATAAATGCGTTAGAAACAAGTTCAACATTGGGATTTTAACAACAGACCTGGAACTATAACAATTTAATTTAAAAGATAATTTGGACATTGTTGCTTGCTTACTATCCACAGTTTACAAGTTGAATAACTGTACTGGAAATTGTGGAGATTTCAATTGATAAACATGTAAAAATTCAGATTCGACTTTCATGTTTTGTAAAATTTTCAGTAATTAATGAATTGATGTGAATGATTGTCTGAAATTAAGTTTTTGAAAAAAATTACTTAAAATTGCGCTGCTTTTAATGCTTCTACATTAACATTTATCTAAGCACAACCATATGACAAAAATTCTGAAATATTAATTTTGAGTATTGTGGAGACCAGCAGAGTTATTGCCTCTTTCCCCACAAGGATTGAACATTCCTGGTAATATTTTCTCGCCATCAAATTGAAGCAACACCAGCTCATAAGTTCTGAAAATATTGAGAAGACCAATTTTCAATACTTCTTAAGAATATTCAAAACTTCTTACATAATAGTTCCAGCAATCGAGATAATGATGCTTCTGGTTAAGAAGAAAAAGTTTCTTCCACTTAATGCTGCACTATTCATCTGAATTTGACTGCATAATCTTTGAATTTGTTGGAACCATCCGTCACTGGGAATCGTTCGGAATACAGCAAGTGGTTTAACAGATTCATCATTTACGGATGCTGTCGTCAAAAACATAGCAAAAGTCCGACATATTAAAAATAAAGTTGAATACCAGAAGTAGATTTTATTTGCTTTGTATGGAAGTGGGCTGAAAGACAATGTATTATAGAAATGAAAACTTGCTGATAACATTAATAATATTCTATTCAAGCTTCATGAAAAAAACAAATCTTACGTTGCTACATTTAAAAGTTGTGAGCAAACAGAATAAATATCACCTAGACATGCAACACATATCAAACTTCCTATCAAGTCATCAATGTAATCATTGAGCTCACAGATTTTATTGTAATGGCATCTAATTTCATCCCAGAATACATCCGTAATAACCTTTAGAAGTAAACGAGTTAACTTATACTAAAGGATAGTCGTAATCAATACTTACTCTCCCTTTAAAAAATTCTAAACGTTCATTAATCATCTTAAACTTTGTAGCTATTGACAAACTCATTACCATTATAAATAAATCAACATAGTTCCAGGCAAATGTGAAGGATACATTCATGTATTCAGCCCACACGACTGAAAATGTGTTCACAGGAAACATCTTATAGATGTGGCTTAGATGAAGACTTGTGATGTAGAAGATCCAGTTTTCAATTTCCCAGTGACAAATCTTTGCTTGAACATAGCGGTCATGTAGAAAAGAATACCATGACAGTGAATGCTCACAAAATGCAAAGATGACAACCATAACAGTTGCGAATCTAATTTGAGTTTTAAGGCTCCATCCATTCAAAGTGTATGGACTTTTGCAAAAGATGCCATCCACTTCTTTAAATATATTCATTAAATCATTCCATTTATATGCAACACGTACGTATAAGATTGAGGATGATATTCCGACGCAATAAAAGACAATGCCACCTAAAAAGTATTGAATACTAGTACACAAAATAACAAGGACGGTTTTCAAATTTGTTACCAATGGTTTTTGCGTTTGTACTTTCCTCATTTGCCATTCGTTTCAATTCAAGATATAGGAACACAAACGCGCTAATGAACCATAAAAGTGTATGTAAAGTTCTAATAGATATAAACTTGAATTTAATGTTGTCAATATTTCTCGAGAAAATTCCTGTAATCGGAAGAAGACCGAACATTTGTGCAAGCAATAGCACTAAAAGAACATATTAAAGAATTTATTTAAAGCTTATCAATCTTTCAAACCTGGAGCGATAACAATATGGAATGCGTTATCTTCATTAGAATTTTTTTTTTCCTTCCAGTTGTGCAACTTTGCCATACTTTTTGACCAAAAGAATTGGCACCTGTTCTTGCTAAACAGAAAAATTCAACTAAAGCTTTAAAAAAACTTCATTGGATTAGCTGACATTTAAAATTTTGCATTCAAACAAGAGATAAAAATCAAGCTACAGTGAAATGAATATTGATGTTGTTTAGAAGGATATGAAAGCATTAAAATGTTGATTTTTTTGTATTGTCTGCACTGAATGACATAGTTCATTAAATATGCAAACATGGGTGGCAATTAGTGTTAATAATCAGAATTTATAAATCGTATTCAGCCATAATTTAAATTCTATAGAACTGTTTGTGCTATGGACTAATAAGCAAGTGAAGAGCTGAAAAAAATTATCTAATCAAATTTTTTTTGATCACTTATTTTTTAATGGAAAATAAAAACAAAAAATTTTATTTGTAATTCATGTTATAGAAATTACTTTGTCGATAAGTGGTTATAATAAAAATATATCTATATATTTATGCACACATGACTCTCCTCAACAAAAGCTTACATTATATTGAAATGAATAAAATATTTGAATTACATTAAAAGGAAGTTTTTTGATGATTCATCCGCAATGACTAATAGAAGTGTAATAATTGTGGATATACACAGCACTTCGATACACTTTAAGTCTTGATGTTAATACAGTTTATTACAAAAATTGCGAAAATTTCTGGGCCTGATATCTCAATTTAATTTATTGTTTGCATAACATTCAAATCTAATCAAAATGCATTAATTCTGCCTAGTCCCAAATGCATTACGCAAATAGACAGCAGCCGTACCTAACATTTCACATTCTGGCCATTTTCACCAGTCTTTAAAATGAAGAGGATTCACCAAGGGAGGGTGATGTCTGGGAAGAGCATCCTTACACTATCAAACCATAATTTATTTTTTTGGATTCTTTCGTTAAGTTTTTGATTCCTGACTTCCAAAAGTGCAATTTTGTGATCAAGTTCCTTTCTTTCCATAGCCTTGCGCTTGCGGTACTTGCCAGATGAAATATTGTTCTTGGTCTTGTTGAGTTCATCATTATTTTTAGCAGAATTAATCATGCTTTTGATAACATTGCTGTTTTCCCAGTCTTTTGGCTTTCGTCCACGTTTTGATTTGAGCTGTGGACCATTAGATGAAGATTTTTCTGGATAACATGGAGATGATGCGGGTGATGAGTAAAAGCTAATATTTGCATCAGTTGATATCTGCCAATGTGAGTCGACAGTATATTGACCAGCATAAAACCTTTCCTGTTTGTGATAAAAAATATAACAAGCATGAGCTGATTGTGCATTTATGATAATACAATTTTGTTACTTACGATTTCTATTTTGACTTGATAATCTATAGGCATGCTGTACTGAATTTCTTCAGCTTGAGCATTGCCCTGTTCATAGCTCAATAACTTCAAGTCAAAATCTTCTATAATGCTCTGTTCGGTAATAAAATTGTGGTTACAGTCCAAATAATCATTTTCATGCTTAAATGGAACTTGTTCCTGGACCTCATTTTCATAATTTTGATCATGAATTTCTCCAAAAATATCATGTCCATCCAAATCATTTCTCAGTTGAAAATCATCAAAGTTTCCTTTGATTTCCTCAACTGGATAGTTTAAAACAAAGTTTGCTAGTGCTGATTCAGTTTCATTTTGAAAGAATGTCTGCAAAAATAAAATTAACCAAAGAGTTTATAAAGGTTTCGCGAACATTGCAGATGTCTTATCACTAAAAATATATTTAAACGTATTTAATCAGGGTTCTGATTTTCTTTACCCGCTTTTTATCTAATCTTTAAAACATTTTCATGAGTCACTGTTAAAACTTTGTTCATAATTGTCAAAAGTATTTCAAAGTCATTCTGAATTTGATAGAATAAAGTATGGCGAATCCAATGTCATCTGAATCATCCGTTAAGAGGTTTTAAACCAATGATGGGTCACATTTATGCGATTTTTAATTTATAGCACAGTTTCCAACTTGAATCGGAAGATGCTGTTGTTGAAACTTTGGCTGTTATTCCGTTATTTTGTCTGATCTCAACACAATATTTATAGACTATTGACTTTAATTTTGGCACACATGAAGCTTCCATATCAATCACCTGTATATAGAAAATATTTTCGAACTGGTGTGGATATAGCTTGAATAGAATATCTGTAGTTGATTGCCTAAGCATAGGGCTCGTGATGAACTAGTATTATGTGTATGACGAATAGCCAAAGTGAGATTAGTACCTCGTTGGCTGAGTGGCAGGCATCTCTAATCGAGTGGTCAATTCCCATCGAACCCGACTTGTTTTACATTAGTATACACATATGGCAATTACAGGGAGATCTACAACAGGTCACTTCCTTTCCGAGTTTTGGATGTTGGAAGTATCCAAAAGACTTCCTAAGAAGTCTCAGACTCGGTTTTAAAAATTCGTCAAGATCGAGAAAGCATAGTTGAAAGTGACTTTAGTTCATACTTTTAATACAAATTTGGATATTTCTGTAATTACTTTGACGCAAAGATCCACTGGTTGTTTCTGAATAAGGGAGAGGAAAAGGGAAAATTGAGGGTCGTGAATCTCCTTTGGTATTCACTTAAGTATCATCTTCTTCGATTATCATATAAACCTCTTATGGATGATTCAAGTATATTAAAAAATTGAATTCACGCCAATTGATCAAAATAATTTAAAAAGTAATCGACACAAATTATTGTAAGCATCGAAGATGAAATTAAGTTATAAAAATAACTTACATTTCTGAGAAAACCTACACCGTAAAACTGCGACATATGAATGATCTCATCGAAAAACTGCTACAGCTTCATTTATAACTGACGTTATGAATATGTTAGAGCAGTAACGAAAAAATCATACAAATGTATATAATTCAGTACATAGAAGTGGTTTGTTGCTGGATATTTAGAAAATATCAGAGCTCGAAGTCTATGAAATTTTGTATGGAGTACTTTGAGCTCTGGAAAAAAAAGCAAACAAAGTACTTCTAGGTCAGAATTTGATCTAATTGTTTATCAATCCTAAGTGAAAATTTATTAAAATCAATTCTCAGTTTTCAAGCTCTCACAGAGTCAATTAAACAATGTAAAACTTATAAGTTTGCATAAGCTTTGTTATAGCTTCATAAAATAATTGTGCTCATTGCTGAATGGCTTTTCTGAGAAAAATAAATTGAACAAGCAAAAAAAAATATAAATTGCGATAACAAAAAAAATATGAATAAGAAAAAAACAAGTCACACACTTGTGGCATGACTGCTGATAAAGAGAATTTTTATGAAACTAAACTGGAGATATGTGGAGAATATAAATCAAATTTTTGTTCATATTTGTTGATTAATGGGATTTTCCATAAATCTTTATTTCGTGCAGAACGTTGTTTCATTTAAAACTAGCAACAGAAATAAATATTTATGTATTATAGCTCTACGGAAATGCAGGAAAATGGTCGGAAGACCAATTTCTTTACTTTATGATAAGAGCTTGCAAAAGAACGAAGATGTAAGTTAACTAGGGATGCTCAAACATAATTTTATAAAATTTTAGATTATTTAAATTAAAAATTGCTTGAAATCTGGAAATTTTAAGCTCAAAAATAACAGATTTTAGAAAAAATTTGATCTGAATAATTTTAATCCAAAATTTTCATTTGAACCTCCCCTATTAAATTGGCATAGTAGTTATAAAAATCAAATAACTAATAAAATATTTCTACAGTATTAGTTATAAGCCGAATATAAAGTGCACACAACGTAAAACACATCTATTTTGCGAACTTAATACAAAATAGATTGAAAAAAATAAATGAAAATCTAGCGTCTTTAAAAAATTATTTTTTTTTCTTACTTTACTTTGATTATAAGAAGTTTTAAGAAGTTTTGGAAAATAATTATAAAAATTTCTAGATAAAAAAAAAAATAAAACATTATAAAAATTAAAATGAAACGTGCTTAAAAAATTCCAAAAAGTGGAAGTACAATAAAAACTATAAATATCATGCAATTGAAATTTCATTTTATAGAGACGACAAAAATTTTGGTTTTATTATGGAATGGTGTATCGATAAAACTTATTTTAGACGCAATAAGCAGTATCCTTGAATCCTTAGAAACCATTAAACTGTGATAATAATCTAGATTAAATTTTATTACTTAATTTTCAGCAAGTATTATTTATCAACAGTAAATGCCACGTTATTCAGTTAATAAGAATTCAAAAGTACAGACTTTGACATAAATTTGATATCTAAATCTAATTTCAAGCTTTCAACACCTCGACACTCACATTCATTTTAGTTTGATTTTAATGATGCTTTAAAACTTTGTAAATTGGTTTTTAATTTTTTTATAGTTTTGATTTAATCACAAATTATTTTCAATCACTTTTTCACTTTTTTACGTCTTGACTGACTAAAAGCTGTAGCTAGAATGAATTCAAAAATTGTTTGAAGTGATATTCTTAAAACGTACGATTATAATGTTCGTATCTGTATGAGTCAAATGCAGTAGTGATTGTACACACATTGTTTTCTTTAAAAAAAATATGCGCAATAGAGATAAAGAAAAGAAAAATGGTTCAAACTGCTTTTTATAAATTTTTAACTGCCATCCTTCACGACACAATTTTCAATTTTTATATATATATATATATATCCTAGCAGAAATTTACTAGTAATTTACTGGATAACTTTCCATTTGCTACTTGCTATTTACTAGTCAAAATCCAAGTTCAAATCATCGCCGAAGACCCGCATTTTCACTTGCTAATTGACTAGTCAATTCGCTTACAATTTAACTAGTAATTTACTATCAAATTTTTAAAAAATTTAAATGAATATAACCGTTGATTTCCAGGTTTTTTTTTGATTTTTCTTATTTGTGTAAATTATTGTAAAAGTATTAGTGTGTACTTTTTTAAAGTTAATTAAAGTACGCTAACACTATGAAAATAAATAAAAGACTTAATTTAATTAAGTCGAATACTGATGAACGCCCATGACTCGCACGCAAACCTGAGGAAGATAAACAATTAATTGAACTCACATTCAAATAGTGGTCGTTATAAAGGTGATTTCTGCGCGCTCTTGTGAAGTATATGGCAAATGTTAAGAACAAAATTTTTATGACGCAAAAAGTTCTTTTTTCGATGATTTTTCGTAAGATTCAAACTTAAGCAGATTTGATCAAACATTTTACATGGTAATTTGCTAGTAAATAGCAAGTGTAATTAATTAACAGTAAGTTGTTTTAAAAATAACTAGTAAATTCGAGTTGTAGAATAGAAAAACTAGCAACTAGCAGTTAGTCTCGCTAGGGATATTGTCAAAATAAAATGAGACTAGTGATATGGATGTAAGAAAGTTTGACTTCACTAGGAAGCGAAGCTTTATTTTCATACTAATACGTTCATTTTATTTTATCTTCTTTAAAAAATAACTGAATCATACATGATGCTGATTAGTGTTTGATGATATCACTTCCTATAGCGATGATAAAAATATACATCTGAGTTCATGTAAAGTACACTATTGCATTTATGAATGTACATACACAACTACACTTCATGAAGAATCACTACTTAAATGCAAAGCAAAATTAGAAAAACAGAAGACTTAAGATTAGTATTCGTAGATTTAATTAATAAGAATTAATTATTATGATTCAATATTTAGACATTTTTCCATTTTTCGTCCTAGGTTTGTTGCTTTGTCAACTATCACATTACTTCATTTTATTCAATCCTCTAGAAATTAATTTCTTTTCAGGCAATATTGATATGTTTGAAGATTTAAAGATTTTCCATCCTTATTGTATCCTGAAGCATACATGAGCCTACGGTTCTAATAAAATCAAAATTTCTTCATCTTTCTCGTCAATAAGGTTGAATATTTCAAGTCCTTTTTCCTGAAATTTCTTGTCAACTTCCATTAAAATTTCTAATGAAATTTCCTGCACAAAGTCATCCACTGAGTTGCTGATGTCATTTTCATTTTTAGTATTATTTTCAACCTGCAAGTATAAGAATCAGTTAAACTGAAAATTTAAATTGAAAAATTCTTACAATTAATCATTTTAAACCTTTACTTACTTATTTTAAATAACAATAATTTTTTAAAATAACGAATAAATAAACTTTATATTTCTTAAAAGATCCACTACACCGGTATGAAGAGACGCGATATATGATGACCAGCCCTAGCAACACGAAGGCTCCGTCAGAAGTTCATTTTGAAGCAAAACTTCTGAGTTACTTCTTATAAAATTCCATATGACTTTTTTTGCCGGTTTTGTGTCACTCTGACATAATAAATTATTACAATATTTATTGAGGATGTCGAATTTATGAATATTTTCTCTCGACCATATTTAAACACTTTTATAAATTCAATATTGCAATCATTTATTAGTAAGTCATCAAATATAAATATTTTTGTTGTTTTTTCAAATTAATTTCTCAATATGGATGCACTTTCATGAGCAAGTTTTATTCAAGTTTTAAGAAATTTATTTCTTAATAATGTAGCTCAATAGCAATGCACGAAACTTGCATTATTTTATCCTTAAAATCAAGTTGCTGATATATACTCTTTTATAAACTGTTATTCAAACCTTTGCTAAAGTTATTTAAATATAAAGTAGACCTAATAAAATGCAAAATGGCGGAATCTGATCAACTCCCCATGATTAAAGCTATCAATGAAAGTTTTATGATCCAAAACTTAAAACTTTGAATTTTTGTTTTTAATAGAATACTGACAATTTTTCAAATTGCACTTGACATTTAACTTTTTAAAATTTAACAATTTTTATGACTTACATTCATTTTTTAATTGAGAAAAATATTAAATGTGTATACGTCTTATTAGTTTAAAAGTAATGAAATATTTGATTCGATTTATACAAAAACTGTCGCTATTATTATAAAGAGAGGAGAAAAAAACTCTCATAAACTTATTATAAAAGGAGCACTCATCAATCAGTGAACTGAGAGATACCTTATAAACGAAATAATAGCACTAATATAATTAAACAAGATATAATATTCAATATCTTGTCAATAATAAATATAATTTTTGTACAATTATAAAATTCATTAACCAATATGATTTAAAAATTTACTTTTAAAAAATTCTTATATGTTACACTGTGTTGCACATGTTATCAAACAGCTGAAACATCCGGAGAAAAGTTGTAAAAAAACAGATACGTTTAACGTAAAGTAAATTCAAAAAAAATTTTACCGTTAATTTTATTTGCATCTTTTTTGTAATCGGGTCATTTTTCATATTTTTTAAAAATTATCAATGCTTAGTCAAGTCATAAAAATAAGAATAATGTAACTAGAGCTCTCTACAATGTCTTCATACTCGAAGATACACAGTTTTTGATCAATTCCTACTATCTGTTGAAATTTTGTGCTATATATTTTTATCTGTTGAAAGCAAGGCAGCTCAACGATACTTTATTGCCACATCCAGAAATTCTTAAAAGTACATCCATCATATCTCCTTGTTATTGCTTATTTTTACATACACACATGAAGACATGACAATGAATAATTTTTTTCTCACTCATTGGGCGGCGTAAGCTGTGAAGAAGATAAAAAAGCATATATATATATATATATATATATATATATATATATATATATATATATATATATATATATATATATATATATGTATTATGGCTTATTTTGCTCATTTCATATCCTTTGTCAAAATACACTTTTTCTTCTTTTCCTTCATACATAATGTTTAGTTTCGAAAGGCACAG